TGGTGTTCACTCACTCAAGATACATGTATTTGCAAAATAATACAATAAGAGTCCTGGCAAAATGATCTTAACCAACTTAAGTGGCCCAAGCCTAACAGAGGCCCTGACCCTGCCGAATAATCAAAGTCGATATTCTTTCATGCTGACACGAAAGGCGGGATCAGTCACCCCTATCGTCAAGGACGACTCACCTAGGGCACTCGACCACTCACTTGGCAACTAACGGAGATGACTTGATGGACATTTCCTATTGTCGACTAAGTTGAGGACTCAACCCCTACCTCAAGCCTCTTCCCTAGAGCATATATCAGTTCCCAGTCCACCTCGGATAAGCCTTATCTAGCTTTTGCCATGATGGTCTCCATGACTTGTCAGCTACCCATGTGCTTTCTGTCATGCTCTCAATCATTTCCTAGAAAATGTGAAGATACTCTCTCTCGTGTCGAAGTGGCTTCCCCTCCAGTCGCCAGCCGACACCTGTAAAGCAAATGATGACTCAGCATGCCAGCGTGCCTTCTGCCACGCTCTTAATCACTTCCCAAAAAATACGGAGATACCCTCTCCCGTACCGAAGTGACTTCCTCTCCAGTCACCAGTTGACACTTGTAAAGAGAGGGATGACTCGGCTCTTAGCCCGCACTTCACCATCGCCTCCCTATGCAGGGCTAGAGGTGACCTATTAATCCCGACAATGGAGATATATACATGTAGACTCCTAACCTCTCAAGGGGGGCAAGATCTACGAAAAAGCTCTCTCTCTCTCTCTCTCTCTCTCTCTCTCTCTCTTCTCTCTCTCTCTCTCTCTCTCTCTCTCCCTCTCTCTCTTAAAAAAGAAAAAGGACCCATAGTTCTTTGTCTACATAGAGGAGCTCACGTAGATCTTCTAGGCATGCACATTACCACTTCAAGAACCACCTCGGTTCCTGACCTTTCCCTTCCCCACTCGAGTTTCACTAACTTGACCATCGGAGGAACCATGGGGGAACCGATCTTCACCCTCTCACGCGTTCTTCTTGTCTGTGCAGCATGGACATCAAACCCCATTTAAGAACCTGGAATAAAGTTAGAAAAGGAAGCGGCCCCTTCATCACTCTCCCCTACCCCGTCCCAACGAGGACCCGATGGGGGGACCGATCAAATTCCATATCAGAACCGATCACAGCTCAGATCTGATTGACTGTTTGGTGGTAGTTATCAACAAGTCCAAAGTTGATTTTCCACTTTGAAAGTTAGATTGAGTTGGATCAACAAGTGATGATAAGAAAGGGGCAAGTCTGTTAGCAAGGACATCAGTAAAAATCTCAAAAATGCTACTTAAAAGACATATAGGTCTAAAGTCTTTTATATGACGTGCTCCTTCTATTTTAAGAATGGGGGAAATGAGATAAAAATAGACACAATAAAGAGGTGAAGAATCGTGGTAGAGAGTATTAAAAATAGAAAAAATTTCATCTTTTATAACCTCTCAAAACTATTGATAGAAAAAGATAGCAATCCCGTTAGGACCTAGGCCTTTATCTGGGTCAAGCCCAAAGATAGCATTCTTAATCTCATCCTTTATGAAATCACCATCAAGACTTTCAAGGGTTGGAGAATGGTTAGGGTAAATATAACACTAATCCACGGTAAAGGAAGATTAATTTTTGGTAGAGAATAAAAAAGAGAAGAACTATGGAAAATATTTTTTGGTTATCTTGTTCTGAGGAAATAAAATGATCATCAATAATAATATGAGGAATACAATTTTTCGTCCTATTGTAAGAGGTTGTTCTATGAAAAAAGGATGTGTTGTTATCATCCTCTTTAAGCTAGTTGATTCTTGATTTGTGATGCTAGAAAATTTCCTCTTTTTTATTACAAAATCAAGACCAGACTTGGGATGCTTTCTAGAAGAGAGTTCAAATTCCGACATGGTTTAGTCTCTTCACAAAGTGCAAGAGACTCAATAGATGAAATAAATTTTCTTTGAAGATGGAGATGGAGATTTAAAGAAGGGGTGAGAAAGCTAAACTTTCTCAAATCCGAAGATGAGGTTGTGAAAAGAATTATCTGAATCCAGGACAATAAGAGTGTGATCAGAGCAGGATGCAGGGTAAGCATATTGGATAAGTGAAGGAAAATTAGCTTCAAAGGCTGCATTGATAAGGAATCTATCTAACCTTAAAAGATTAGGGTCATCCCTCATGTTAGATCAAGTGAATTGTTGACCACTAAGAGGTAAGTCCATAAGGACAATTGCTAATTTGAAGGCATTTATATCTCTATAAGAACTGGTTTTACCTTTCCTTTTCCTAGCACCAAGAGTCACATTAAAATCCTCAAAGACTGCCCAATGCAATGGATAGATGAAGAAATCCTATTCAACTCCCACCAACATGCCTCTTTCACATCTCTCTCAAAAGGACATTCAAAGAGATTGTTATTCCATTCTAGAAGCACACCACCCTTTGACTCAACAACATCTAAACTAAGTCAAGTGTTTATCCTCTGGCTACCTAAGGCTTTAAGAGTTCTAGAATTAATAGAATTAAGCTTAGATTCTTAAATACCAACTATATCCACTCCGGAAAAGAGAATACAATCTCTGACCATGCTTCTTTTAATAGGGTTATTCAACCCTCTAACATTTTAAGAACCGGTCTTCATGTAAAAGAAGAAAGAAAAATAATCTAACCAAATCCTAAGATAAAACTTAGAATAAAGAGCTGTCGTTGGCTCTTTCTACCTTTAATGCTTTCAGATTGCTTAATGCCTCTTGAGCTAGGGGCTCTTTAATATCACACTTAATATTTAAAAGTTCTTATATAAAAAAAAGAATTAAGGGGAAAAGCAGTAGTAGGAGTAGAGAAAAACTGACCCTTTCTATGTAGGGGAGGCAGGGATCTCCCTGATCTACCCATAAAGCATTAGTAGGGCTTGTGACAGAGAGATAGAGGGCAACTCTACACTTCTTCTATCTGATTAGCCTTTCAAAATCTGGAGGCTGAGTTGAACAGAAGATAGCATCCATAGAGTTTCTGAGGTCTAAAGAAGAAGATGTATCAGAGCTAACATAGGTCGAAGTTGGGGCTCTACTTGATGGGCCAGCTGTAGGGTCTTTATTAAGATCATAAATAAAAGCTTTCCAGGTTGGCCTTGGTGGAAAAAAAAAGATTTGTCATCAAAAAAATAAATTTACCATAAAAAATAACTCCTACCATATCTGGTAAGTTGGTAGCTAGGAAACTTTTGGCCTACTCTAAATCCTTTGATTTTGCAGGACCTTCAATTTTCTTAACTACTTCCTCACTTCCCACTAGATTTAAATTATGAAATATTACCCTTTTGCCCTTTCTGTCAACCTCTTGAACTAAGGCAATATTCTCTGATAATTGCTCAAGTAGGGCTCGTTTGAGGAAAAGTGTCATTGAATCTCTGAGTCCATGGCTTCCTAAAAGACATGCAAGTCTCTCCAAAGAGAAATGGGAGGAAGATTCTCCTTCATTCATAAGGAATTCAGTCCCCTTCTTAGATTTAAGAATCTCCCTTGAAATAACCTCCCCATTGGTGTCAATGAAAGTTTTATCTTCCAGCAGCTGTCCACTTACAAGAGATACATAACGAAAAGGAACAACTTTTACAATATCTCGCTTACAGATGGCTTTTAAAAGAGCTTTGCAGACTGATATTTCCTCAATAAAAATAACTTATTTAGAATATGCAAAAACTTCTTCATAGTCCTACAGCAGGGCAGATTGAAGATCACTATCCCATAGATGGAGGGGGAGATTGGACAACTTGATCCAAATGAGCTCTAGTTTGGATGAACTTCCATCCCTTTAGTTTCCATCCATTTACAAAAGGTTCCCCTGAAATATCCCATATCTATATAGCCCATAAGAACCGTTTCCTCTAGTAAAATCCTGGGAGAGAAATTGCACGAGAAAAGTGTTTTTGACTGAACGAAGGATTCGATGATCCCATTCCTTGACATTGAAGCGATATTCGAGCATATCCTTAAGTTCGTCAACTTAGGGAGAACCAACTCCAAGGGATAAAATGGCAAAAGAAGATAGCTTGATAATCTTGTATTTGACCGGGGAGGGAGTGGTGATGATAGGAATCTTATGTTGCTGGAGGTTAGAGGAAGGCTGAGACATGGCTAAAGGACATGCCCTAGAAGTGTGGCCAACTGCCTTGCACTTGAAGCAGTGGAAGGAGGTAAGCTTGCAGGATTTTGCCATATGATTAAGATCTTCACAAAAGAAACACCTTTTAGGTTTTTGTGGGAGGATACCATAGTTAGGATAGATACACATTATCTAACCGCTCTCTTCCTATTAACTACCTTTGTCTAGCCCTCTTCACAGATTGGAGCAAAACCCACCGGGTGGGGAAGGATCCCTTTATCCTTTGAAGAGAAAGCATATGAATTCTTGAATAGATCCGCAAAGGAGGAGAAGGGTACTTAAAGTATCAATTTGCTTATTCGTCCCTATCTACCCAAAAAAAGGACACTACCCTAGACCATGTGCATGTGCCTAGTATAATCATTTTATGAGCCTAATGTCAAATATTTAACAGATTAATGATGTGATAGTATTTTCTTAACATTTCCTGTATTTTTGGCAACCTAAAAAATATTTTTTTTAATTCATAAAAAGGGTTAAAGGGCATAATTTTTTGGGATATTTTTAGTTGGAAAAAAAAGATAAATGGATAAAAACTCATGAAAAAACCAAAAAAAAAAAAAAACACTAGCATGTCCATAATATGCCAAATATTTGATTGTATACACACAAAAAGACTACATTGAAACCGCAAACTTTGAGGGGTGACATTGGCAAACCAATACTTCAGAAAGTATTTGAGAGTTCACTGATATTTTAAATGAGAAATGATCATTTTATCCTTTATTTATAACTCTTTATTTTGGAGGATTTATCTGAAACTTGAGATATTCTGAAGACCAGTATCTGAGCAACAAACCAAGAATATGTGATGCACCACAAAACAAAGTGTGAGCTCAGTGTTTCTCCTTTTGATATACCGATCAAAAATTCAAATCCCTGACATGAAACTTCCAAACTTCAACTAACAAAAAGAAAACTCATAATTTACACAACAAACATCTTACATCTCTATGTTCTAACTTCACCCACTTTCTTACCTCCAAGTGGAGAAGATAACAACGACAAAGGATAAAATAAAACAAAAAACAAAGCATAATTCCACTCTTCTTATTTCAAATCTACCATCATCATCATCACCATCATCACAGCATCACCATTTCCTCTGCAAATAATAATCCCTCTCTGTTTCCCTCCCAAATTCTAGAGACCTATCAAGCCTATCAACCACTGCACTCTTGAAATTAAACCCTGCAGCAACCTCCTGTGCACGTGCACACGACCTCTGCATCCCAACACCGCTGAGGCTCGCCCTTGACTCAATCAGCACCTCGCTCAACGGCAGCCTCTTCCTCGGTCCCAACTCTGGCCTCTGCTTCGGCGCGCTTTGCGACCTCACCTTTGCCTCGAACGACCTCGTATTGCTCATGTAGTTCGGGCAGTTGAACCCTCCATCACCCCCACAAACGCTCTTCGCTGGCGTTGATGGAGCGATGCAGAGATACCGGGGGGTACTCTGCGCGGTGGAGGAGTATCGGTAGTCAAAGTCGTGGAAGTTTCGGGCAGTATCGGGGATTGAGATTGAAGATATGTTCCAACTGAGATTCATGCTGTCCTCCGTCGAGTCGATTACCGACGGACTGATTCTGGACCGAGAGGATCTTGATTTGGGTCTACAAGTATCGATCTCGACGATCTTCGGGCTACGATCGAACCCATTATCGAGGTTTCCTGATAATCTCCGACTGTGGACCGAGTTCATGTCATCGAACTTTTCCTGAAACAAAAGAATGTGGATCAGTTTGAGGTATTTTTGGTTAAGGGATTCGTGTGATTTTGAAGCTTACGAGAGATTTTCGAGGATTGATATCGGGTAAAAACCGAGATTTGTGAGCTCGAACGGTGGCCTGAGCTCTGATGAGGGCTTGCATACTGTGTAGAGTTCTTGCTGCTTGTTTCCGAACTAAATAGCCTCTAACAAGAGCTTGTAGCTTTACTAGTGCTTTCAGAGCTTTGAGAGCTTTTTTGGCCTGTAACAATTTGGAAACGTAAAAAGTTCACAGAAATGAAATTGTTTTAAGATTCAATTCGAAAAGGAATCATAAATGCCCATCAACTATCATTCATTGAATTCACTATGGAGATGCAGAGCGTAGAAGAAATAAAACATTGCCCAACTTTGAATGACCAACTAAGATTCATCATCATAAATTAGCAAAGGTCGGATTTTTAATTGAATACTTACCAAATAGCTTCTGAAAACAGTCTGTATCTTGATTGCAGCAATCCTCTCTTGGACTCCACCGAACATAGTTCCTCTCCCTTGACTAGTCAACCTCACCACAGCCACAGCCCTGCGCCGCCGCAACCCCGCATCGGCAGCGGCGGCTGTCCCCGCAGCGACGCGCGATGGCGTGCTTGTTCTGCTCCTTCTCAGTCTCTGAATACATCGAGCGAAGCCAAGCCGCATTGTCGACAGAGCTCACCGGAACCTGACCCTCGACCACCTCTGCCGAGTCCCGGCCCGATTTGAAACTCCACCGCTTCTTCTCTCTCCGGTCATCGCCGGCGATGGAGAATCCGCTTTCACGGGACTCCCTGCTGTCCTTTTTGCTCCCTAGGAGATTTCTTAGCCATCTTGTAGCTCTACCCATTACTTAGATTCTTCCTTCTTTCTCTCTAAGTAATGGAATCTAATGCAGAGAGTTCCTTAGCTTGGAGATAGAGTTCCTGAGAGTTAAAGTACTAATGTAAAGAGAAGGAATCACAGAGTAC